CAGGGCATTATGGGAAGTGCCTCGTGCTGCCGATTGGTTGCGGGAAAGGTACTTCCTGGGCTGGGCTGGGCTGGGCCTTCTCCAGGGACGCGGGACCCCAGGACTCCTGCCTCACAGCCCCCCCACCCCATCCACTTACAGGGGCCATGCAGGTTAGCGCCTCGGCCACTAAGGCCCAGGGCCCTCGGGGGTGGAGGCAGCAGCCCACCAGCACCTCCCGGGAGAGGCCCCGTCCTCTGAGAGCCCCGCTCGCCCGAGCTCTGGACGGGCCCAGCAGGGCCGGCCCCCCGGCACCTGCCGAAGTCTCTGACGTCTGAGCACGCTGAGTCAGGACGAGAGACAAGCCGCTCATGTCGCTGGGACCGACGCGGGGCTGGGAGTTTCCTTCCTTGCACAATGATTCTTCCTCTTTGAAGATGAATCCCCTCTCTCCGGCTCCGCAGCTGGCTCTTTCCCGTGGCTGGGACCACGTCCACTCCTTACCAAAAATACAATAAAATACAAAGCCGAAAGGGCAAGTACAGGAAAACCCGGGCTGGGAGGGATTCACAGAGCTCAAGAGCGCGTCGCAGCGCGCCCAGCTTGCGAGCACCTCGCAGCATTCTGCTGACGGCTTCTCCCATCTGCGCCGAGGCCGGCCGCCCACTGAATGCAAATTGTGGCAGTGTCACAATCCCTCTGCGGTCCTTGCTATTTTGGGTTCGCGTTCAGGGAGCCTTCTGCACCTGCTTCGGCAATGCGGCTGCTGGGACTGGCATTCGCTGTGGCCGCTCGGGGCTCTCACGCATCCCGCTCTCCTGGGGCAGGTGCGGGCATCCTTGACCATGAGACATGGGCAGCCACGAGCACCTAGTCCAATTCCGCCTTCCTGCTCACGTAAGCCCTGGGATGCGGCAGGTGATGGCTCAGGTCCTTGGGCCCCGGTCACTCATGGGGGAGACCGGATGGAGTCCCGGCTCCGGAGTAGATGGACGGTCCATCCCTCGCTGTCTGCCTCTTCCTCTAAGCTCTGCCTTTCAAAAGGAAAGAAGCAAAAACAAAAACACAACACCGAGCTTGTGGATAGGCATCTTCTGCTCCAAGGGCGGTAAACAGAGGAGCAAGGGAGGCGCGTCCTGACCCAGCAGGGGCTTCCGAGCCACGGGGCAGCCTGGCAGGCCCTGCCCACTCTCTGCCCGAGGTGTGAGTAACCACACATAGCGTGTGCAGAACGCCTGTGTGAGTATCCACAGGTGCGGAATCACACCTGCTCTGTACAGCACACCTCACAGTGTCTGCATTACACACGCATCCGGAATTACACCTGCTCCACAGCACACCTGGATATGAATTATACACATATACACAATCACACCTGTTACATATAACACAGCACACCTGGATATGAATTATACGCACATAATTACACCTGTTACACATAACACACAGCAACCTGGTATATACACACGTACATAATTACACCTGTTACACATAACACACAGCAACCTGGTATATACACACGTACATATTCACACCTGTTACATATAACACAGCACACCTGGTATTTGAGTTATGCACATGTACATAATTACACCTGTTACATATTAACAGCACACCTGGTATATGAGTTATGCACACGTACATAATTACACCTGTTACACATCACACACAGCACACCTGGTATATGAATTATACACACGTACATAATTACCCGTTACAGGGGCTGGCGCTGTGGCTCACTTGGTTATCTTCTGCCTGTGGCGCCGGCATCCCATATGGGCAAGAGGTTCTAGTCCCGGTTGCTCCTCTTCCAGTCCAGCTCTCTGCTATGGTCTGGGAGTGCAGTGGAGGATGGCCCAGGTGCTTGGGCCCTGCACCCGCACGGGAGACCAGGAAGAAGCACCTGGCTCCTGGCTTTGGATTGGTGCAGCGCTGGCCTTGGCAGCCATTTGGGGATTGAACCAACGTTAGGAAGACCTTTCTGTCTGTCTTTAACTCTGTCAAATTAAAAAAGAAAATTACACCTGTTACATATCACACACAACACACCTGGTATGTGAATTATACACACGTACATAATTACACCTGTTACATAAAACACACAGCAACCTGGTGTTTGATTTATGCATATATACATAATTATACCCATTACATGTATGTCTCATATATGGTATATAAATTATATATATATACACTTGTTATACACAACGTACATATTATATGTGGCATATGAATTATATATGCACAGATAGTTGTACCTGCTAATATGCATATTATATCCGGTATATGAATTATGCATATTTACACCTTTCGATATACATATACCATAGTATATCTGGTATATGAATTATACATGCATACATAAGCATACTTGCTATATATACATATATGGCATATGAGTTATATATGCACACATAATTATACCTGTTATATATAACACTCATATATCCATTATATGAATTATACATATATGCATAATGCTACCTGTTATATATAAAATGCATAATATATAGTATATGGATTATACATTTAGATGTAATTATACCTGTTAAATATAACCTACACATTATATGGTATATGAACTATATATAATTACTTACCATAATATACATGTTATACAGTGTATGAATTATGCATAGACAGTTATACATATTAAACATACCATCACATATAACATATGAATTATACGTGTATTATGCCTATCATACGTATCATATATATGAATAATACATCTATACATAGATCATATACATTATATTCATGCCATACTACATGAATTATGCATACATTGTGCATATGTTATACATACATGCATAAATCACACACATTATGTGCAAGCTTTTACATATGAATATGCCTACATCACACATTACATACACCACTCACGTGTGTGATTTTTCAAGCACATACGAGCAGGACTGTGATGGCCAAATTCAGGCATGGCTTATGTTCCCCATCACCACCAAGGCTGGGATTTACAGTGGCGAAAGACGGCGTCGTCTTTGCTTCCCAGGGTTGTGCCGCCAGAGCGGCCCACCACGCAGTCTCAGGTCCTCCGTGTGGAACCTGACGGTCACTTCTCACCCGCCTCACAGAGTTTGGGGACGCAAACAGAACAGAACGTCTTGCATACTGCCCAGTGCTACCACGCCAACCAACCCGAGGCACAGGCGGGGCGGCGGTGGTCTCTGATCCCGGGTTGGAGTTTGGGGCGCCACAGTCCAGGCTCTGAGGTGCAAGGCCCCCATCCGACTGTCACTGGGGCGAAGGCTCACGGTGTCACCCGCTTCATCCCAACACAAACCCAGCACTAAGTGCATCACCGCTGGATCAAAGCAAGTCAGGCGGAGCCGAACCCTGAAGCTGGACCAGGAGCAACAGTCACGGCTGTCTTACAAGCTTGCTGTCACTCACTCTGCAGCAAGACACGGCTTCGCCCCCTCCTCCACTTCAGTGGGCTGGGCCCCTAGCCATGCAAGCCTGTTTTTCATGGCAAAACCTTCCAAGTTGTACTTGAAATAGCTGCACCGCCAACTCCCTTGGGGAAAGCAAACTTTAGCTGCATGGTGCTGCAGCAAGTGGCAAACCTCTCCAACAGCAGGTCGCAGAGGGCGGCAGGGCCCTGGGGGACGCGACCGTGGAGGGGCGCTTCTGAGACCACACAGTGCACCTTGGGAGGGAGCGCAAGTACTTGGTGCCTGCCCCCCATGCAAGAGCTTCACCAAACCTCCATCCAGGAAGGAGTTGCTGGCTCCCCGCTCTGACTCGACCCAGCCCTGTCTGTCGTGGGCATTTGGGAACTAAACCAGCAGAGAAGCAATCATCTGTCTCTCTGCCTTTCAAATAAAATGAAAATAAGTAAGACTTAAACAGAAATCGGGAAATAAAAATTGGTCATTTAAACGTCAGGGAAAACGTCACCGTGAGGACACATTACCCTTGCAACAAAGGACCGAGCTGGTCCCAGGTGGAATCCCCCACCGCGGGTGTCACCCCAGAAACTAAAGCGGGCAGCAGGGACCCAGAGACTCGAATTCTGCTGATGGAAGCCGAGGAAGAGGGGCAGGTGCTGGCGGTGGGTGGGCGATCTGCACGGGAGCCCACCTCACGGGGAAGCAGGGGCCTTTTGGGGTTGCCATGGCAATGAGCTCCGAAGTGGAGTATCAGCTTCCCTGACAAGAAGGCTGATAGGGACAGGAGACTGGGGACGGAGCTCACCAAAGGGAAGGAGACCGTGAGGCAGAGCATGGGAGCATGCCAGCCCTCCCCCGCCCGGGACGCCTGTGGTCCACCGCCACGCACAGAGCAGCCACGCAGCACGTCGTGTTATTTTACACTCATTTGCAAGGTGGCCGCACCATCACGGGGACAGCTGAGCCGCTCCATGCCCGCCCTGCTCTGAGTGTGGACCTCAGGGTCCCCACCCACGCCCCTGGGAGGCAGCCGGGCAGGACCAGGGCCCCTGTGACCAGGGCCGGCCTGGGGAAGGTGCTAGAGCCTGGAGGTCACCGTGGAGGGGTCGCCCCTGCTGTGCTGACCCACACCTGCCCCGGGCCGCTCAGGCTGTCCCTGAACACGCCGAGCAGGTACATCCGTTCCGCACGTGCAGATAACCCGAGGGACAGGGCAGCCAGCACCGGGCAGGAGGAGGCACACCTTTTCTTAGCAGGCTGGAGCGTGCACAGGGAGGGCAGGTCACCACGTCCACCCGCGGGCACACGGAACTGCACAGGACATGTGGACACGTCTCTAAAACACAGAATACACGGTGTCGGTGAAAGAGAAGGTAGGTGTTTCCATACACGAGGGTCGATTAACGCACGCCAGGCCGGGCTCCGCTGGCTGCTGTCTGCAGGCCCTTCAGCCACGGCTGACGCACGGCGTGGCTGGACACCGGGACACAGCACAGCTGTAGGGGACAGGGCCGCCCCTCTGCACCCTGCACGCCCCGATCCCCACACGGGGCCCCCTGCACAGGCCGTGGGCACTCCACAGGTGCTGGCATCACGACAAGAAGCGTGTTTATAAACGCAGACTAGGATGCTCGCTTTATTGGAACAGGGTTACAGGCAGTTACAAAAGACCCAGGGTAACCCACGGTGTGGGATATGGCTTAGCTTCTCAGGGCTCGGGGCTGTCCGGTCCCAGGGAGCCCGCACGGAGGCCCCAGTCCTGGCGGCCAGAGACGAGGCAAGACCGGCGCCGGCGGCCACGCTGGACTCCGTCCCGCGGGTGGGGCCCAGGTCCGCGGAACCTGGCGAGGGCGGGGCCGGTGATTGTCCGGACACGCGTGCGCCGCCCGCCGTGGCGAGGGCGTTAAGGCCTTCGGGTTCCCTGCGGCGCGGCGAGAAGGCACTGACACGGGCGCCGTGGTGCCCCCAGGGCGTGCCTAACTGCGCCGTGGAGCGTGCGTCCCTCTGTCCGTCCGTCCGTCCATCCGGCTCAGGAGTAGAAGGGCCGCCCCTTCTCGGGAGTCTGCAGTCTGCTGAGCCGGGCCACCTGTGAGGGCGACGGGGGCACGTCCTGCCGGAAGGGGCCCTTGGCGGGGGCGTAGGCGCCCTCGGGGGCTGGCAGCTTCTTCATCTGCTGCTCCTTGCGCCGCTGCTCCTGGCGCAGCAGCTCCTGCGTCTCCAGCATGACCCTGGCGTTGAAGCCGTGGCCGCCCAGGTAGCCGTTCTTGGAGCCCTGGTAGCTGGAGTAGCGCGGGCTGTCCTTGGCGCTCTGGAAGGCCTCCCCCGGCGGGCAGCTCTGCTCCCACGAGTCCTGCGACACGCAGCTGGCGTTCTTCCTGCTCTGCCTGCAAGGTGGAGGGCAGCGGTCAGCATGGGCTGGGGCGGGGGACGGGGCAGCCCGCGAGGCAAGGGCTCCAAGCCTCCCCGGACCTGACCCAGCAGAGACACTGGCCGCAGGGCCCCCAGATCTCACCCAGCAGAGACTGGCCGCAGGGCCCCCGGATCTGACCCAGCAGAGAGACTGGCCGCAGGGCCCCCGGACCTGACCCAGCAGAGAGACTGGCCGCAGGGCCCCTGGACCTGACCCAGCAGAGAGACTGGCCGCAGGGTCCCGGATCTCACCCAGCAGAGAGAGACTGGCCGCAGGGCCCCTGGACCTGACCCAGCAGAGAGAGACTGGCCGCAGGCCTCCTGGACCTGACCCAGCACCGGGCACACACACTCCATGGTCAGCAGTGGGGAACCGCGGTCTGCACGGTCCCCCCCAGCTCGCTCCCTGCCACCCCAGGAGAGGACACACACAGGGTTCCAGTTCTCACTCCTGCCGCCAGGCGCTCGGGGTCTTGAGGAAGCATCGTTGTAATTTACCACTGCGTCTGCAGATCTACAGCAAGACTGGCTATGATAAAGTAAAACAATTTCAGGCCCTTATTTATTTATTTTTGCCTTGAAAATGGAAAAGAGGGAGAGCCGACGGAGTCGTAAAGCAAAATATATTGCTGCATTTATCAGCGGGAAAATCGCCCGGGCACAGCCTGCAGGGCTCCGCCTCGCACATCCACCCGCGCCAGGGCACAGATGCCAGAGCGCCAGCGAGGCCTGGGGTGAAACCCGCCCCTTTCCCACGGTGGGTGGGGGCGGTCTGCCATCGGCCATTTGGATATCTGTGGCATCACGGCACCATCAACGCGAAAATCAGCCCGCTGTGGGGTCCCTGAATTCCGAGTCCCGCCTCGGCAGGGCCACTTGGCAGGGCCGGACGTGCTGGCTGTGTGGGGCTCTCTCGGCCCACGGGCCCTCAGCCAGGACAGCTCGGTGAGGTAACCGGACTTCCGGTGCTGCGCCTCCTCTGGACCCGGCCGTCGGCACCGCAGCTGCCCACGCTATGTGCACATGGCTCTCTCTAGATGGGCGCCTGATGTGCAGCCGGCCCCGCGAGAAGATTGAAGAGTTTATTTGCCTAAAGCTCTGATTATCCGCACTTAAAAAGTCATGAATTAATAGGCTGGGGGAACTGAGTGATGGGAGAAGTGGCAGCGCGAGGCGAGGGAGCTGACATCCATCACGAGACTGTAATTAAAACAGCCAACGTGTTACTGAGACCACGCCACAGAGGCGGGGTTCCTCCGCAGGTTCCTGCAGATCTGCCTGTCCCCTCTCCGGGCCTCCTGGGATCCCCAGCGCCCTCCCCCCACCAGGTGGGCGGATTTGGGATCACCCCAGGAAGACAGACTTTCTGTATCTAAACACACCGAGAATTCACTGAAGGTTTGTTAGGGATGGAAAATGTGATGATGCGAGAGAACGCATTTCCTGCAGCTAAAATCTTCAAATTGATCGGCTTAGAGAGAAAGAAGCCGGCTGCCCTGAGGTTCGCGACGTGACATGTCGGATGCGGGGACTGCAGGATGTTCATGAGGGGGCGGGTGCTTGCAGCAGTGGCTGGCATGCTGTTAGGGACGCCAGCAACCCACACAGGACCACCTGCTTCAAGTCCTGGCTCCACTTCCGGTCCAGCCGCCTGCTAATGCGCATCCCAGGAGGCAGTGGGTAATGGCTCTGGTACTGAGGCCCCTGCCGCCCACCTGAGACCTGGGTGGAGACCCTGGTCCACTCAGGGCTGTTACGGCATCTGAGGAGTGAACCTGCAGATGGAAGGGCTCTTTGTCTGTCTCTTTTTCTGTTTCAAACAGGCCTTGTGGAGACCAAAAGGACACGGAGGGTTGGAAACCGGGCGCCAGCACGGTACGGGGAGACAGACGCAGTCACAAACCTGCCTCTGCGGCTGGGCAGCTGTGGGACTGGGAGGGCTCCCCGACTGGGCCCAAGCACCCTCATCGGGAACAGGCATAAATCCTGACCCTGTCAGGGTGGCAGCTCAGAGGAGAGGCGCTGGTGCGTGGGGAGACGCCCACGCCCTACTGCCTGCACTCAGGTGGCTTGAGTCTGGGGCTCTGCCTGCTCTCCTCTGAACAGGAAGAGGAGGACTCCAAACAGCTACCGTCAGTCCAGTGGGAAAGCCGTGGCTGTTTTGGGAAATGCCAAACAGCAGCCGCCCCTCCTGGGCAAGTGTGAGTGCCGGAGCCTCGGCCAGGGGCGGGCAGGAGAGGGACTGCAGAGGAGGAGGCGGGAACAGGTGGACAGCAGAGTCGGGGGGCAGGTGAGCCGGAGAGCCCTGTCCAGAGGGTGAGGCCAGGAGAGACCCAGCAGACGCCCTGGTGCCACCCCCCCCTCCCGAAGGTGGGGACCCTGGCACCCCCGTTCCCTGCCCCGACCTCCTACCGGGCCCTCCCCACGGGGTCTCTCCCAGCGCCTGCTCTGGCCCTCCGCATTGCGGGTCACTCCTCCCCTGAGACACTCCTCGCTATACCCAGGGGCACCTCAGCACGCTGTGGGACAAGGCGAGGGAGAGCTCTGTTTCTTCAGGCGCAAAAACAAAAAAGCTTGAAACGCGAGCACAGGCGCGGTCTCCAGGAAGCGCGTGGAAAACGCAAGTGAGGAGAACACTGCACAGTTTCCCATGATGCCATGTGCCCGGATGCACGTTTTTGCACCCCACACTCCAGCTCCCACAGTGAGACACCGCAGCCCAGGGACTCCCCTCAGGATGCAGGCACGGCGCCACCCGCACGCGCCGGTCAGAGGGGCCAGGGGAGGGGCTCCAGGAAGAACTGTGCCTGAGCACCTGACGGCCGACTCCTTCACACAGGGGTTCCCGCCAGCCCGGAGGGGAGCGTTCCGGCTCCCAGTGCCCCAAACGCGGCCCCAGGGGCACAGCAGGCGTGGGCTGGAGTTCGGTGTGGTCCTGGGGAGGCTGCTGCACTTCCCTGAGCGTTTCTCCGAGAGGCCCTCTCACACCTGTGCAGACCCAAGCTTCAACAGCTCATCCAGCGAGGGCTGTGCGACCCTCAGGGAGAGCGATTCGGCACTGAGAAGATGCATCCCGGGGGACTCCCCTCGCGCCCAGGGTCCCCGGCTGACCCGGTCAAGCGGGTGACGACCGCTCGCCTGTGCACGGAAGCAGCCGGCCGAGGCTCACGTCCAGTGGTCAGAAGCGTAACCGACAGGACTTTCACCGAGGACGGAGTCGCTGTGCCGAGGCGGGAAGCAGCCAGTAGGAGGGAGCAGGACCTGCACCAGGGCCCAGCCCCGCACTCACAGGCCACCGCTTCACCTTCCGCCCTGTCCAGTCTTCTCGCCCTGCCCAGCCCAAGCCACGCCCCGTGCTTGCCCGCTCACTCACCTCGGCAGGGAGCTGTACTGGCGCTGGGCCTGCTGGAAGCTGTCCCGCTCCTCCTGCCGCTGCCGCTGCACCTGCACCTCCACCGACACCGAGTGTCTGCCGCTCTGCGCAGCCGGCCGGGAGCTGGGCTGCAGGAGACAAGGGGCTGTGGTGAGTGGGGGGGAGACATCACCCAGCCAGGGCAGGAGATGAGGGGCCGTGGTGAGCGGGGAAGAGACATCACCCAGCTAGGGCAGGAGACGAGGGGCCGTGGTGAGCGGGGGGTGGGGGGTGGGGTGGACATCACCCAGCCAGGGCGGGAGACATCACCCAGCTAGGGCAGGAGACGAGGGGGGGGAGACATCACCCAGCTAGGGCAGGAGACGAGGGGCCGTGGTAAGCGGGGAGAGGGGGAGACATCACCCAGCCAGGGCAGGAGACGAGGGGCCATGGTGAGCGGGGGGAGACATCACCCAGCCAGGGCAGGAGACGAGGGGCCGTGGTGAGCCGGGGGAGACATCACCCAGCCAGGGCAGGAGACGAGGGGCCATGGTGAGCGGGGGGAGACATCACCCAGCTAGGGCAGGAGACAAGGGGCCGTGGTGAGTGGGGGGAGACATCACCCAGCCAGGGCGGGACGCGTCTGGAGCACCCTCTCACACTGGAGAATAGACAAAGGAACATCACTGCTCTAAGGAGCGGCAGCTCCGCCATCCTAAACTGCAATGTTGGTGTTGGCCTGTGGTTTCCACTTGAGGCCAAACTCTCCGGCCTTCTGAATGAGGTGTGGTCAGCAGTGACACGGGATGCCGACGTGTGGCACGCCTCCCACACGTGGCAAATACAGCAGGACTGGGCAGACGCTGAGACGCGTGGAGAGTGCGGGGGGAAGCATCCCAGCTGTTACCAGGATGGCACTTCACCTGGTTACGCACACCCAAAGCCCCTGGCTACGTATGCCAGTGAGCAGGCCGCCTGCTGACGGGTGCATCTCCCCAGTACTGGATTACTGAGTGTGTGTGCTGTGCTGTATAGACCGCGCCCCGGGAACGCATCTGCGTCTCACTGGCAGTTGCTGGCTTGCGGTCCAAGTGGCAGCCGCTGTCGGTGCCACAGGCCCAGCACCGGTATCTGTCACGGCCCTGGGCGCAGGTGCCCCAAGCAGGGCTGTGGCACTCACAGAGCCGAGTCCCCGTGTGGGTTACACAGCACTGTGCACCAGCCTATCATGCTACACATGAGGAGCGGCTTGTGCGTGGAGAGGAGAGCCCAGGCACTTGCGGATGCAGAGGGGTAGGCGACACGCAGCTTTGGGGCATCGAGGACGGCCCCCGTGTACTCCGCTGGTTGTGCCCGGCCAGGCCAGCACATCTCCTTGTGGACAGCCGTCAACTCAGCAGAGCCAGCGAGCCCATCAGAAATACGCAACACACAGACGCCCTGCTCTGACTCACAGACGTTCATGGCCACAGAGGCCCGGCCTTCCTCCTCGCGGGAGGGGCCGGGAAGCAGAGTGGCAAGCGTGGGCAGCCCAGGAGCAGCCGGGACAGAGGGCGAGCAAAGGAAGACGGCCGGCTCCCTTCCCGGGCCGCTTGGCACCGGCGACCGGTGACCGGCTCGGGCACTGGCGTAGCTGTACAAGGGCAGGCCAGGTCTTGCGGGGACATGGGCTGCGTTTTCCAGGTGTTTCTCCCAGAGGCCTAAAGATTCTGACAGAGGAAGACGATGGAGAAGGAGATGGGCTTTCGATTGCCCAGCTCTGCCTTCTGCCACACGGCTCACCCAGCACCTTCTCTGTGGCACCTGCTGGGGTCCCCACGATCCCCACCCCACCCAGGACACAAGAGGCGTCCGAGGCCTGGAAGTGCACACCAGTGTCTGTCGCTCCTGGGGCTCCCACCGACGGTGTAGACAGGGGCCGCCCGTCTGTTCTCTCCATGTCCCTTTTCAGAGCACGGGGAGGGGTCTGTTACCAGGGCCAACCACGTTACCGCAAACAGGAAGTGTTCATGGGTCACAGATTTCCACAGAGGCCACGGGCCACGGTTGGCCCACAGCGGAGATGGAGCTGACACAGGGCGTGAGGAAGCCACCTCCTGGTTAGGGCCTCCACGCACACTGTGGGGACAGCGTCACACGCCCCAGTCCCTCGGCAGGAACGGAGTCACACACCCACGCCCAGAACCACGAAAGGCAGGAGTGAAATGGAGACAGAGATGCTCCTTAGACTCACTGAGAAGTGCGCGCTTCCGGGGCCGGCGTCGTGGTGTGTGGTTAAACCATCACCAGCAGCGCCAGCATCCCATGTGGGAGTGCTGGTTCCAGCCCTGGCTGCTCAGCTTCCCATCAGCTCCGTAATGGGCACCCTGGGAAGGCAGCAGATGAAGGTCCAAGTGCCTGGGCCCCTGCCACCTCTGTGGGAGACCAGGGCGGAGTTCCAGGCTCCTGGCTTTGGCCTGGCCCAGCCCTGATGCTGTAGCCGTCTGGGGGTGAACCAGCAGATGGAAGATGGACCTCCCTCTGTGTCACTCTGTGTGGGGAACGCGTGTGCAGGCGCAGGGAAGACGGCTCTGCAGAAGCAGCCACTGCAAGGCGCGGCTCAGCTCGGACAGCGCGGCCCAAGGGTTGGCCTGGCTCGTGCGTGATGATGCAACTGGTTCCAGGCAAAGACCTTTTACATGAAAACAATGGTGCAGGCTGCCCTGGCCACAGTGATGATGCCGTCTGCAGAAATGGATCCACCATGGTGCTGTGGCCAGGGCTGGGGCACGCACAGTGGCCCTGGAAACCCAGCGCACGTGTGCTCATCTGGTCCCGGGGAGACCCTGTGTACAGCGTGGCTGCCACTCAGCCGTGTGACACAAAGCACCAACTCCACCTCCCCACGGTGTCCCCTGAACTGAACCATCCACTAGATGCTTCTATTAAAGTCACTCTCATGTTCCAAAATAAAAACAGAAAATAGAAAAAAAAAAAACACTAAACAGTTAATAGAAAACAAAAACAGGGACACACAGTTTGAAGTGTCTCTGCTGATTAGAATTAGGACGCTTTGTAGGACTTTTATAGCTGGATGTAAAAGTTGCCACAACACACAGCACGTTAAGCTGCCACATGTGATGTTGGCATCCACACGGGCCCTGGGTCGAGTCCCAGCTACATGGCTTCCCAGCCAGCTCCCTGGGATACACGCCTGGGAAAGCAGTGGAAGATGGCCCAAGTGCTCAGGCCCCTGCACCCACCTCGGAAACTGGGATGGAATTCCTGGATCCTGGCTTTGACCTGGCCCTGTCCTGACTGTCGCAATTGGGGAGTGAACCAGTGGATGGAGACCTTTCTCTGTTTCTCCCTCTGTCTGTAACTCTACCTCTTAAATAAATAAATATATCTTTGAAAAGAAAAAGAATAAAAAAAGTGAGTAAGCACATGCGTGCATACACATGTGTACCTGTAAACATGTATGTAAAATTCTTAGATCACTTGGGGCAGGCTTTCCACTGAAATTATGGAGAGTGACAGTATTCACACTGTCACTGATGTCGGTTGATGATAGACGGTCCCTGTGCTTTGGATGGAGACGGAGGGTGAGGACCACACTGATCAGGAACCCAGGAGGCCAGTGGCACCCGTGAGACCTGGCCGCCTTCGGGGAGCAACTCAGATGTGCTGTGACCCTCACGTGAACCCCACAGGCTGATAAACACGGCAACCAAAGACTCGGTAGGAGGGAGGACCAGGCTCGTGCCGTGAAATCCTGCCCAGGATGTGGTCCCTCACACCATTCAACTGTGGCCACTGTGGGCAGCTACTTTCTGTAGCTGGTTCAGGGACACACCGTCCCCCTGGGCCTGGTCACCCGGGCTCCGAGCTTCCTGTGGCACACACTCCTCTCCTGGTCCCAAGGCCACAGAGGCCCTGATACAGCACCTGTCTCTCACCTTCCCGCCACGCGGCTTCCCTACCTTAAACAGGGCAGCTGCTTGACAGCCATGGGGGCTGTGCACATCACCCCCAGGCCCTCACAGGTAGAATGGGTTACAGCTCACACCCGAGTCCCCACCCCAGGTCCCCCTGGCTCACAGACACGTTCCCGCCTCCAGCCATCTGTCTTTGAGAAAACTGCCATTTTCTCGGGCACAGGAGAGGCAGCCAACGGGCTCACCCACCAAAGAAGCCACGTGGAGCCCTAATACGGTGAGCAGGCAGGAAAACGGGGGTCTGTACGGAGAGCCGGCGAGGGGGCAGGGGAGGAGGGGAGGCCAGGCCGGAGGCGGGTCCCCACTGCTTTCAGTCGCCGCCGACCTGGGATGGAAGGACTGAGCACACAGCTATTAGGTGCCCCATTATCCCATCCGTCAGGCGACTCGGCGGGCCAGGCGTCTCCTTGTGGCACCACTCACGTCTCTGCAGAGTTCTCACAGCAATCCGTACTCGGGGCTGCAGCCTGCAATTTAATTCTTTTAAAAGCCACATGATGGCCTGTCCTTATCTGAGCCCAGCCGTCAGCCCATCATCTTGAGAAAGATTTAAAGCAACTTGCTGCTGTATCTACGCTGCACCTGGCACAGCGGGAGGAAGATGATGTTTCTTCTCTCCCTCAACTTGGGCGAGGGCTAAGCAGGTTTTCCCGGGCCTGTGCCCATCTGAGGACCCTCTGAGCCACAGACCAGCTCCCTTGGGCCCAAACGTGTTTTTAAACAAAGGCCCTGGAACAGGTGCATTCTCCGGAGTTTATGGGAACATGTTCAAAATAGAGGCACTCAGCAGGGCTGGGGTGACCTCTCCGCAGCTGGGTATGTCAAGTAATTGGCTTGGATGCTTGTCTGAAGGACACATCTGGTTGCATTTGTGTGTGGGCAGTCCTAACAAGCATGCGGATTTCCACTAACAAGGGCTGAGTCCTACGCAGATGAGCAGGGGCTCCTCACGCCACCGAGCGCGGGCCGTGCCAGGGAGTGACGTCATACTCTCTCCCTCTCCAGCACGGCGACCTGGCAAGGCCAGCACGCACATGGAAGAGGCACTCAAAGCTCACCCTGTGGGCGGATGAACAGAGCCTCCGGACTGAGTCGCCATCAGAACAAGGGAGTGGCTCTTACCCAGGGAGGATGAGGCCTGGTACCAAAGGTTATCATGCAGGGTTAATCCTACTGAAAATGGATCTTTGCATAAAAAAAGATTGGGACTAGGAGTGGGAGGAGGAAAAGGGTAGAAGTGTGGGCGGGAGGTGGGTAGAGTGGGAAGAATTAGTATGTTTCTAAATTTGTATACATGAAATGCAAAGCTTGTATACCTTAAATTAAAGGTCTCTTTAAAAAAAAGAAAAGAAAGTTAATCCAGCCATTACGGCCACCTGGAGCTCATTTCCGTGAGCAGCAGACTGGAGAGCACAGAGCAAGGCCTGACTTGTTTAAGAATGGAAAAAAAAATTAACGCTTAAAAAAAAAAAAAAAAGGAAGGTCACCTCCGACCCACAATTTAGGAAATTATTCCTCTGCACTGCCAAGGCAGCGGCTGTCATCGGGTCGTCCTCCGCCCCGTTCCAGGAAGCGATCGCACGGCTCCCGCTGTCGCTACAGGAAGCCATCGCACCACTTGCTGTCATCCAGAGTCGTGCAGGCGTGGTTGCCACACACGGAATCCGGCCAGCATCCTTTAGGGCGGGTTTTCAACGGCGCAGGAGGCCCTGAAACGCCCTCTCTAGCACGACTGTCCGCGTTCAGCGGGCAGCACAGAAACACGGAGCAACACATTCGCTGCCTTCCTAGTCCAGAACCAACAATTCCTAGGAAAGCCAAGGAACGCACTGCACGTGGAGCCTCTGGGGCTAAGGGCAGGAACCCCAGGCAGCCTCAGGCTCGGGGTCTCGCGGATGGATGCAGTGTTCAGACAGTAGCAAAGCCTTGGTCTCAGTTCGCAGAATTGTGCACTGAGAATACAGTGCAGCCTCACGGGTGGGAGTCTGGCGATCTGCTTGGGACCCCCACACCTCAGCTTCTCTGCTCCCAATCCAGCTTCCTGCTGACGTGCACTTGGGAACCCAAGTACTCGGGTTTTTGCCACCGAGTGGGAGACCCAGATGGAGTTCTAGGCTCCTGGCGTTGGCTGTTGTGGGTATTTGTGGAATGAACGAGCAGGTGAGATTTCTCTCTCTTCTCTCTCTCCCTCTGCCTTTCCAAGAAATGTAAATAAAAACACATTTCAACTTCCAAGAGGAATCGTGAAGGGCTTTTCCTGGCCACTGCAAACTGAGCTGGGCCGGTCTTTCTGAGCCTCTCAGCATGGCACGCTCCAACCCTACCAGCCCACTGCAGTTAGTGCCAGGGCCTTCCTCCTGCCCTGTCTCTGTTCTCAGCACCAAGCCCTGCACTGGGGCACGCTCTGCCCTCCCGAAGTCAGAAGACTTAAGTAGCATCGCAAAGCTGCTGGCTTGAACTCCACGCTCCATGTAAGGAGAGAGGCTTACAGCTACTCCTGCTGCCCAGGTTCTGTCAAGCCCGCATGGCTGGCTCCGTGGGGTGACCACTACGCGTCTGACCACCACCTCCCTACACAGCTGTTGTGCCCTCTCCAGTGCATCTGATGGCCACTGTCCTGCTCAGCCCCTTGTGCAAATGCACAGCTCAGAACATACTTGCACGGTCACGACAGAACCCAGCAGGGTGAGAGGGGTCAGTGACACCAGACGACTACTGGGGGGGGGGGGGGTAACAGAATTCTGTGCTGGGGCTGCATGGGAGTGACTCACCTCATCACCTGGAAAAACAAGCCAGCCCCTTGGAAAAAGCAGCATTAAGAGTAATACTGTTGCAGAAGACAGGAATTTCTTAGGTATTGGACCTGCTGAACTTGTTTCTTTGCTTCATTTCTTTTATTGGAATGGTACAGAAGCACAGAGAGACAGAGACCTTCCATCTGGGGGCTCGCTCCCCCAGAAGCCTGTAACAGCGGGCCTGGTCCAGGGAAAAGTTGGGAGCTAGGAACTCACTCCAGGTCTCCCATGAGGCTGGCAGGTGCCTGAGCCCCCACCTGCTGCCTCCCAGGGTGCCATCAGCAGGCAGCTGGAGTCAGAAGCAGACCTGGGACTCGAACCCAAGCACCTGGACAGGGGATGAGAGCAACCTAAGTGGTATTTTACCACTGCCTGCTGGTTCACTCCCCAAATGTGGGCAACAGCCAGAGCTGGGGCGGGCCAAAGCCGGCAGCTGGAAACAGTCTGGGTCTCCCACAGGGTTGCAGGGATCCTAGCACTTGAGCCATCCCCTGCTGCGCCCCACGGTCTCCAAGTGGAGGCGGGACAGGAAACCAGGCGTGCAGTGTGGGACGTGGGCATCCCGGCCGGCAGCTGAACCACGGTACTGCCCTGAACTTGCTTCACAACCTCGCCACGCCAGGTAGGACCAGCTCCTGATGCATCCCACTCCCGGGTGCTGGCGCCACACTGCCAGTCACCTGTTCTGAGACCCCACCTCCCCCACGGGGACCCAGGGGCAGCCCTGCAAACTCGTCCTGCTGCTGCTTCTCCTTCCTCTCCTTCATGTGCAACAATAACCTCCCTCACACTCTGGCTGGACCACCAATCCCTTCACCAGAGACCTTCATGGAGCTCTTACTTTCTGCAGCGTGGCGCACTGGGGGTGCTCGGCTTTGGGACCAGGGAGGACCTCAGAGTCAGCCAGCCTGCAGAACACGTTTCGGGGAGTATACAAACGCAGACGCCATCTCTGTCTGCCTGTCCGTCTCTCCGCCTCACAAATAAAACAGAGCAAACCAAACACCCACGGCAGGCATCTAGGCTAGCAGTTACGATGCTGCCCAGGACACCCGGGCCCCACGTGACAGCGCCTGAGCTTGGTACCTGGCTCCACTCCTGATCCCAGCTTCCTGCGAAGGCAGAGCCCGGCAGGCAGCCGTGGTGACCGCCACCCTCGTGGGGACCTGGATTGATCCCCACGCCTCTGTCACTGTGAGCATGTGGGGAGTGAACCAGGCGGGAGTGTCCTTTCCCTCTCCCTGTCTCTGTATTTCTGTCTCTTTCTCTCTTGAAGAAACAGACACAGGTGCCTGGCAGCAGACACAGCGGTCTCAGCCAAGCAGGTCCGAGGCAGGCCCAAGCGTCCGGCAAGGCCCCGCCCTCACCCGGGGAGCCACCTGTGCTCCACATGTGGCCTGCAGCGTGTCCGCAGGTCATCGCGGGATGCCCATCTACCCGCACACTGCTGGTTTAGAATAGGAGCCTGGGGCCTGGAAGGTCAGCCTCGCTGGTTCCTGGGCCACCTCCTGTGCTGGTACCACTGCTCAGAGCTCCCGTCTGGCACGCGGGGTCCCCGACACCTGCACCTCTCATTTCCGCTCCCGTCAGCGGGGTAAGATGCGGCCACGCGCTCCTCACCGCGAGCCTCTTCCAGCCCGTCTTCCTTCTGCCCTGCTCTCCCGAGCCCTTTGAGCCGAGGGCACGGCTGCGTGCTCGGCTCTCCCTCCTTCTGGAACGCACGTGGGGGCAGCACGCTTGGGGCCTCACCCTCCTCCAGAGCCGTGCCCGCCCCAAGACCCTGAGGTCCAAACGCCAATGCCTGCCAAGGTCTCACCAGGACGCCACGCCCACCAGAATCAACGTGCAAGTCCGTTCTCTCCTGAGCAGCACTGGTTTGGTCACAGGACTGCGTGAGCAGACGCATGACCGCCCGTAGTCAGATGTCCCTACCTTGAGCCGCTGATCCGTTCACCCTAACGCACTCCCTGTGAAGTCTCCCATAATTCACAGCCGTCTCGAACCCCACGCCCCGGGAGGGCCATCATCCCTCAGGCAAATCACGGGCCCCCAGCAGGGGCCGGACGCTGAGAATGCCACTCACAGCTTTGTTCTAGAAAGCTCGCTGGGGCGGCCAAGTGCAGGCTGGACACACGGGGGTGGGGGCGGGGATGGGGTGGGGAGCGAAGCAGGCGGCACACTGAACGCTGCCCTTTGTGCACAGCAGACACCAGGGACATATGCTGAGCGAATCTGCACTGCCCTCGCCCTGGGAAAGATCTAACCATAGAAAATATTTACTAAATTGCGAAAAAATGCACAGTGAGAGCAAGAACACTGCGGCTGTGTCTTGTCACGAGGCTAATTAAATCTATTCTGCCACGGGCAGATGGTGGAACAAGATCCAGAAGGAAATCAGCCGTGGGGACCCCCAGATGGAGACGAGGCCAAGGCCACCATGTGAAAGGTCGGGGGCTGAGGGCGCAGCTCGGGGGTGCTCACCCAGGGCTGCTCGAAGCTGTAGGTGCGCCGCCGGTCCTCCGCGTCCTCCTCCTGCTTGGCCTGCTGGAACTCCTGCCGCAGACGCTGTATCCGGTCGTGGTTGCTAGGGGCGGCTCGGCTGTGGGACACAGAGAGGAGACGGTGAGCACCCGACCGTGGGCTGGGAAGTGTGAGGAGTGCCTGGGCTCAAAGTCCCTCCAGAGCCACGTCTCCTCTATGGGACATGGCCAGCTGGGAAGGTGGGGGGAGAGAGGCCCACCCAAGCCCTCTGCCCACCTAGACTGGTGCACTTCCCACTTCTGAGCTGTGGGTGCCTTCCTCTTTAAAAACTATTTGTTTATTTACTTGGGAGACAGAGAGACACAGACAGGGAGGGGTCCCATCCACCGACTGACACCCCAAATGCCCAGCACGGCTGGGGCTGGGCTGAAGCTGGAAACCAAGGTCCTGGTCTCCGGTGCGGGTGACAGGGACCCAAGTACTTGAGCCGTCCCCGCTGCCCCCCAGGTCGCACATGAGCAGGAGGCTGCAGCCAGGAGCCAGAGTGGGTGGCAGACCCAGGCACTCACACACAGGGACGCAGGTATTCTAATCAGCATCTTAACCACTGGGCTCAGTGCCCACCCCTGCGACGTCTTTATGAAGTAGGGCTAATAACGTTGCTCCCAGTGGCACAGTCGTAATGATCCAATGAGATGGTATCATAAAATCCAGCCTCACCGACGCACAGGGTTATTTTCACTCGGCATTTCCTACTAATGAGTCACGAGAGGTCTGTGATGGGAAGCGTGTTCACGTGAGTCCGGGCGGTGGCTCGAGTTCACCAGCGAGTTAGTAACCATGCAGCCTGCCTCTCCTGCAGCCCTGGATCTGGTCTTCTAGCGAGAGCTGATGAGATGCACACGCGTGTTTGCAGATGCACGTGGTGGTACCCTGAGAGCCCGCGTGGCTTCCGGCCAGCCAGTGTGGAGGGTAGAGCCGGAATGTGGGTTCTCGGGCTCCCAGCGCCCCTCATTGTACTACGTCACGCACAACACTTAGTGGAACACAGCACACACTCCTGCTTTCTGCCAAACCTGGGGCGATCAAGGATGACATCATCTGACACCTGAGGGCGCACGGGGTCCTTCCCCTTCACTAAGGTGCTGACCTGCACCCCAGCAGGAAAGCTCGCCAGGGGCTCCAGCAGGGACATCTGCCCTGGAGGACAGCAGGCTCCTAACAAGGACTGGAACTGGGGCCAGCACTGTGGCACAGCAGGTAGAGCTGGGGCCTGCAACACTGGCATCCCATGTCAGCGATGGTTCGAGTCCCGGCTGCTCCTCTTCCGATCCAGCTGTCTGCTAATGTCCTGGGAAAGCAGTGGAAGATGGTCCAAGTGCTTGGGCCCCTGCACCCACCTGGGAGACCCAGAAAAAGCTTCTGGCTCCTGGCTTTGAACCAGCCCAACTCTGGCCGTGGTGGCCATTTGGGGAGTGAACCAGTGGATGAAAGACCTCTCTTTGTGTCCTCCCCTGACTCCCTACTCCTCCGTAACTGTGCCTTTCAAATAAATAAATAAATCTTAAAAAAAAGCAGCTCTTTTAAGATTTATTTTACTCATTTTTTTAATTGAAAGGCAGGGTGACAGAGAGGGAGAAACACACATACAGAGGACTTGCACTCACTGTCACTCCCCAAATGGCCACACAGCTGGGACTTGGCCAGACCAAAACCAAGAGCCAGGAGCCTCATCCATCTCCCACCTGAGTGCTAGGGGCCCAAGTCCTCAGGCCATCTTCTACTGCCTTGCAGGTGCATTAAAAGGGAGGCGGATAGGAGGTGGAGCAGCCGAGACCCAAACCAGCACTCCGACGTGGCAGTGTGGGCGAGGCTTGACCTGCTGTGGCACACGTCGGCCCCGGGGGTTAGGTCTTACATTTACACATGCGTCCTCTGCGCGGTGGACAGGAGCGGCAGCCGCAGGCCCTGAGGAAGAGCAGGTCTCTCGGGGTCTCTCGGGGACTGCGTGGGCACCAAGCTCCACCCCACCCCACCCCACCCCGTCCTCACTGGGCCAACAAAGCTCTCAGGCAGACGGGTGTCGACGCGTCACTGGGTACACTCTGAAGAATTCCAAAGATCTGGAATTCTCAAATAGGAAACACCCAAGACGACAGGGCACAGGCTCATCCGTTAGTGCCCAGGAGGAGTCCCTGTGCCCTTGGCGTTCCTGTCACTCCCAGGACAGACCCCGGACAGGCTGTCAGGATGGCAAACTTGACACGCTTCTGCCTTTCTTGCGTCCTGGTCAATCTCTCCAGCTGAGCGGCGCAACACACAACAGTTTAGTAGGCGATCAGCCGTGGGGCTGCACAACTGGCGGCTTGTCTACACTGGGTGCAGCTTCAACCCCCCTGCCCCTGACACACAGCCAGGCCGTCACTGCCACCGGCTTGGAGAAGATGCAGCAGGCATCTGCAGGGAGGGCGACCCGTGTAACCGGCAGCCTCGGGCTCCCGACTCTGCAGGTGCGAAGGCACCGGCCCTGCAGCAGCAGCCCCGGGCGCCCCACCAGGGAGCTGCACTCTGCCCTGTGTCTCCACGCAGCATGGATACCTTTAACCCCCGAGGACAAGGACCACAAAGTCCGTACCACTGACAAAACCTAACCGGCTGTGATGGACGCAAGGTCCATTCTCCCAACAAAGGAGACTGACCCAGCACCTTCCGCTTTAAATCCTGGCAACCCCAACGTTTCTCAGGGTAAGAGGCAAGCACCAGGGGTCACTTCTGCCCTCACTTCCGAGTCCGGGTGACCACAGAATGGCTGGCTCTCCTTGCCCGAGTCCTAGAGACAATGATAGGCTCGGGTCAGCTGAGCAAAGCCAAGAGGAGCGTTGTAGCCAGCCATGGGCCACGAGGCTGCATGATGGATGATGGCTCACGGAGGCTGGGAGGGCGCCCGGCACCCTTGGGGAACAGGGGTTGGCAGAGCGAGGCGCAATCCTGGCTCCCGGAGACGGAGCCGCCGCAGCTGCCCGGTTGTTTCTCGGGCCAGCAGTGTGGATTTGGACGTCTAACGTCCTCGGTGAGGACTTGTGCCAGGAGAGCTAAAGAAGCTGCAGGTATCCATCGGCAACAGTGACTAATCCTGCGGCTCTCTATCAGCTCCGATGTAGGCCCTGCCAGCCCCAAGCTGCCCATCATTGTCTTTCCGGTGTGTGGGATATCGTAAAACGACACCTCGGCGGAGCAGAGTGAGTGAGACGGTAACACTTAACAAGGAGTCGGCGAGTCATGGCTTACAGATGGACGGGGTCCGCACGGGCAGAGGAGGGATGCACAGCGGGGCCTCTGTGTAAGAGGCACACACACACACACGGGACAATTTCAGTTCAATACTAATACTTTTTGTAGCCAACTGGAGCTGCCTTTTTTTAAAAAAATTATTTTTATTTATTTGACAGGCAGAGAGACAGAGACAATGACAGAACACCAGTTCACTTCTCCAAATGCCTGCAACAGCCAGGGCTGGGCCAGGCCAAAGCCAGGAGCCAGGAACTCCATCTGGGTTTCCCATGTGAATGGCGGGGATCCAAGTCCTTGAGCCATCACCTGCTGCCTCCCAGGGTGTGCATGAGCAGGGAGCTGGAATTGGGAGTGGAGCTGGGAGCGAACCCAGGCTCTCCAATATGGATACCAGGGTCCCCAGTGACAGCTTAGCAGCTACATCAATCTTCAGTCCCTGGAACTGTGACACACACACATGCACAGCCTTCATACACATTCATGAAAAATGAGCATCACGAAAAAACCACGCATGGAGCTCAAAAGACATTTGGAGCAAAGTAAAGTTACCTTTCCGTTCTGCTTCTCCATGACCATCCTGAAGGGTCCTTCTGTGTGTCTGTGTGCATGCACGTGTGTCCTGAATGTATACACGTGTGCCCCACATGTATACGTGTGTGCTCTTGTGTGCATGCGTGTACTGGTGTACATACTCATGTGGCTCTTGTGTGAGCACGTGTGTGTGGGGGGGTTTGATTCAGCCTGACCTGGTTCTCTGTCACAACACTAAGGAGCGGCAGGCACAGGGTGACCCTGAGTGACACGAGGTTTCTGTGGGGGGTCAGAGCAGACCCAGCCACGTGCCGCCCAAGGTGGCCACACTCACAATGCTGACTTCTGAGCTCTCGGTAAGCCAGACGGCAGGCTTGGCTTTGTGCTCCCGGCGCGTAGTCCGTCCCGGCAGCGCTGCGCTCCCTGCACTGGGATAAGGTGGTACTCCTGTCAGCAGAGCCCCAAGGAGCAACACAGCCACCCTGCAGGCTCGGCGCCACGGGAAATATTAAAAAAACAAAGACAAGTCACACTTGCACTGAGCATGTCCAGACGAGCTTTCTCATTGCGATTCCCTAAGCAAGGTGTTGTAACAAGCACTCACACAGCTCCGCACCACGCTAGGTGCTGTGTCATCTATGGACGAGGGTGGCACAGGATGGAGCTGGACATCCCCGCACATGGGAACAGAGCCAGGCCCCACCGCCGCAGAGGGTCGACTACTCAAACGTGACAGCTGGGGGCCGGTGTTGAGGTATTGTGGGTTTAACCACCGCCTGCCACACCAGCATCCCAGTATGAGTGCTGGGTCCAGTCCCAGCTGCTCCACGTCCACTGCAGCCCCCTGCTAATGCACCTGGAAAGGCAGCAGAAGATGGCCCAAGTGCTCGGGCCCCGGCCACCTTATGGGGTGCCCAGTTGGCGTTCTAGGCTTCTGGCTTTAGCATGGCCCAACCCTGGCCGATGCAGCCATTTAGGGAATCAACCAGCGAATGGAAGATCTCTCTGTCTCTCCCTCTCTCCATAAGTCTGTCTTTCAAATAAACAAACGCATCTTTAAACACACACACACACACACACACAGACACCTGGGCACTATTCGCTTGGCCTTGCCTCTGCCGAATCCTCTCCTGCTGACCTGTCTAGAACTTTCCTGCAGGCCTGAGGTCTGACCTGTCTCCTTGGAGGAGCACACGCTGAGACAGGAGCCTGCGATGCGGACGACATTAGCAGGGGGCACTGTGTTGGGACCCGGGGCTCAGTGTAGGGGAGAACGAGGCACTCGTCCTATGACCC